AGCTATATCCACACAAACTTACATAACCATATGCATAATCATAATCATAATAGGTCTATCTAGACAAACGCATAATGTATGCATAAACATATGGAAACTAACCTTAATAACTTGTTTCGGTTCTCGCCATTTTCGTTACTATCGAGTATCGACTCAGTTTAGTAATCGGGTGCCATTATTATTGAAGAAGAATTGTTGAGTCTGCTAAACGTGACCATTAACATGGATGAAGACGAAACTGTATCGTATACAACTGTATTACTACTATTACAACTTCACTATTATTTGATATTAAGAAAAAAAAGTCGTCGTTTCTTAAGAAGATATAAAAGAAGAAGATGGTGGGTTCGTCCTATTAATAATATGAGACCTTATCAAGGAGATTTTATGCATTTGTTTCAAGAATTGAAACATGATGCAGATATATTTTTTAAATATACTCGGATGAATGAAGATACTTTTAACTTATTACTTTCAAAACTACAACCTTACTTGCAAAAAAATAATTGGCGAGCATTGCCTCCAGAGCAACGTCTTATTATGACACTTAGGTAAAGTAGTTTGAATATAATTACAAAATTTTTTATGCATCTGTTTTTCAAGAATATATAAATTATTTTTCTCTATTGACAATGTTATTTTTTTATACGAAAATAGATATCTTGCAATGGGTGATCAAATGACATCCATAGCGTTAGCGTACTGTGTTGGATTATCAACTGCGCATTCTGTGATTCCAGAAACATGTGAAATAATTTCAAATGCATTGGGTACTAAATACCTTAAGGTATCGACTAATTGTTTTCGTAATGAAATTATTTACAGATTGTAAGATGTTAGTAGCATCACACCAACGATCTAATTACATTTGAAGGAGTTATTAGTATTTTAGATTGTATTGTTAATCTGAAATAATTAGCGCATAGTCATATTTGTGTGTAAGATAAATTTATTTACATGTGATGTATTATTTCAAATATTCGATCTCGTTTTTAGCCTGAATTTGTACTGATCACCTAGGTTGGATTAATGACATTGTATGTTCTACTATTGGTAGAGTATGTATTAACATTTTAAAACACTGTCTTGTAATAAGTACCGACTAATAATATATAACATCAATCAATAGACTAGTAATCTAACTTAGGTCAGTGCAAATCCGTTTGGGTTATATTTGATCGTAATTATACCGCTCTTATATTTAGTTGATTTATTTATAAGTAGTTCTGATTATAATTTTAATATTGTTTAAGATACCAACATTAAACGAATGGAAAAACATAAGCACAGGATACTGGCAAAATTGGAATTTTCCGAACACAATAGGAGCGATAGATGGTAAACATATCCAAATACAAGCACCACCAAAGTCTGGAAGTCTCTATTTCAATTATAAAAAAACGTTTAGTGTAGTGCTTATGGCCATGTGTGACTACGAGTATAAGTTCACTTTAGTTGATGTGGGTGCTTTTGGCAGTGATTGTGATGCTGGAGTATTATCTAAATCGATATTTGGAAAAGCACTATATGATAGAACACTCAATATATCACATGAAACTAGAAAATTACCTCAATCTAAAGTAGAATTGCCTTATTTTGTCGATGGTGACGAAGCTTTCCAATTGCATAAAAATGTAATGCGTCCATATCCCGGTAGATTTTTAAGCAATGATAAAAGTATATTTAATTATCGTTTGTCACGTGCAAGACGCGTCATTGAAAATGCTTTCGGCATTCTGGTATCAAGATGGCGAATACTTCGTCGTCCAATATGTGCTCATCCGTCAACAGTAGATCGATTTGTCATGGCATGTATAATTTTACATAATTTTTTAATGACGGAAAATGCAAAACATCCAGCTTGTGAACAAATTTATTGCCCATCAAATTTTATTGATCATGATGATGATATGAGAAGAATACTTCCAGGAACATGGAGAAATGAAATATCAAGTATTGAAGATTTAAGACCTACTAGTGCACATAGAGCAACTCGTGAAGCCTATGAACAACGAGAAATTTTAACTAAATATTTGTTATCACTTGAAGGTGAAGTTACATGGCAATATGAACGCGTACATGAAGGATTTAATAGTGATTTACTATATGAATAATATTCTAAAATTTGTATTTAAATTATCTTTTATTTATCTTATCATAGAACGTATAGAAATACAAATGATTATTTGCAACAACTATTGAATTATAAGCTAATCATATCAAAGTGACAAGCGTATTTAGTTTCTATTCCATATTTTTTGTTTTAACAAGTTTAAAACTTTCGAAAAGTAAACTGTATATTATATATATCCAGTTTTATACGCAATAACTTAAAGTTTTCGAAAATTTTTTTTTAACGTAAATAAAAAAAAAATTTCATACTTAATTATTCTGAATAATAAAACATTTGAGATTACTTATATTATTAAGTTTATATTTATATTATATTTGTAATTACTAACTTTTATCACAAAAACTTTTGTCACAATATATATTATTTTTGAAATTAAATTAGTTATCTAAGAACAGTCTTTGTTTGACAATTGCACAGGCGATAAACTAAAATACTGTTAATCCAAGAGGTTGATTCCATATCTTGAAACAAGATAAAAAATACTAAAATAAACAAATTTACTCGATATTTATCAATGAAATTATATTCTAATAAAAAAATTCACTTTTGAAATGTTCACCTCTTTTAAGATAGAGAATCGACTTAATTAAACATTACTTTATAAAATTAAAACTATCTTAATGTATAGATAATAGACTTTGAAAAAGAAACAAAACTAATGTATGACTAATCATAAAAAAATGTTACGTAATGTTGTCAAGAATAAAATTTTCTACATTGTACCCACTTCGTCCATTTCTAGTATACACATACATTCTTTTTGTGGCTGTGGAATCAGATGTTTATCTACTAATTGTAAGCGTATTTTTCTAGAAAGATACATATATATACATACAATAACTGCAATGTCAATTAAGCTAAATATACTTTTTAATGTAAAAAATAAAATAATTAAAATTTACCCTTACAATTGGTATACAATTTTCATTATCTGTCCCTTTAACTCTGTTTTTCGTGGTTCCTCTACTTTACGTAACTGATGCGCGATACTTTGACAAAAATAATCATCTTCGTCCATTTTTGGCTTTTGTAAAATATGATGAGTTACGATAGATGATAAGTTCTTGATTGATGTCTCTATTTCATCTGTCTCTTCTGTTATCTTCCTTTTATTATATTTTTTATCCTCATTTTCCTTATTTTCTAGCTTACTTTTCGTACGTGATTGTACTGACGATATACATGGTTTATCAATATTAGGAGATAAGATTGAAGTAGAGGATTGCAACAACGATTGAGATGAAGATGGAGATGAAGACGAGGATTGTGATGGTAATAATGATAATGATGGTTTCATCAACTCATTGTCAGTTGAAATAGAAGTACTAAAAAAAAAGGTAATTGCTATTATGTGTATTATAAATATATATATATATACACAGAGTCCCATAAATCTCCTGACAAATATCATGGATAGGTAGAGCTGATTAAAGATTACTAAAGATTTTTATATTTACTTGCTTGCAGATGTGACTGTATGTGTTACATATTTCTGTATATTTTTTGGCTTATTGTTAGTAGTAAAATATGTGCCTTTTGATCCAATATTCGAATATATTCTAAAAATATCATATTAATTATATATAGATAAAAACATATAATTTAGATTATCTTAAAATTAAGATAATAGTTGAGAACTCACTTTCTGGTTTTGACAAAACAATCTAAAAATTTCATTTGATCATATAATAAGAATGTAGATCTTGTGCATGCTGCACTGCCACTACGACTTTCTAATTCCCTTTTTTTCTTTTCGCGAGAAAATTTTTCTCGAAGTCTTTGCCATCTACTTAAACAATCCGAAACTAATATATAAACATAAAAATGACATTAATAAAAAGCAAGGTTAGAAATATCACATATAGAAATGTTTAATTATTTATATAAAAGATTACCTGTTAATTTTAAAATTGAAGAGATTTTCATCCATGCACAATCCTTTTTGTGTGTATTCTTGAAATCTGTCTGACTTTTATCATAAAGATAAGGAAAATTTTTAACAAGATCAATCAACATAGTGTCAGTGTTTTCTTCACAATATTCATATGCAAATTCTTGATTTTGATCATCCATGACTTGTTCAAAATTCATTTAAGAAATAAAAAATGCTATCCTGTGTATTTATATAGGTAATTATTGAGAATAATTACTTCTCTGCGTCTACACAGTTTTACACAAAATAAAAGAATTTGAGAAAAGCGTCGTTCTGCCCTGCAAACTGAAATATTTATCTATCGCTTGACTACTCTATTTAGGTTAACAATTATAAAATACTACGATGCAAATATATAAAGTGAATCATAAAACTGTTCTATAAGCAGCTCATTGATTAATTGGCTCTGCATAACATAAAAATTTCAACAATATGAAATTTTTCTACTTACGCATATGCAATATTTCTGCTCTACACAACAAGTATGTGATTGGTCCATTTACTTATGCACGTTTGTTCATATACCATAAAAATTTCAATATTTGCTCGTGCCATATGTAAATTCTTTGAGCCAATATGGCGTCGCTTATATTAACCTTGTGATTGGTTCACGTTTTTATGCTTATGGTTATGCGGCTATGCAAATTTGTGTGGATATACCTTAGCGCCGAGACACTACCGTGTCTCCAGATACGTGTCATTATATTTAAGAAAATAATAAGGTAAGAAAAACAACAGTTCTCCCTTCTCTTCTTCTTCAGTAATACCCAACAGTGCCGAACTTACGTCTGATTTGACTAATTGTAAGACTAACTGGAACATGTACTTTAATACCTCACTATGTATGCCAAGGTTTTTTTTATATAATATATATTAATCATTATCTTTCAATAACAAAATGTATTACGTTAAAATAGACAATTTGATATAAGAATTCTATTAAAATTAATACTGATCTTTTGTGATTCAGTTTTGAAATATAAAAAACTGTTATTTGGATCTTCTCACCTAGAACACTATATTTGATACAAGATTGTGGAGCAATAAGAATTCTTTTGAAATTAATACTCATCTTTTGTGATTCAGTTTTGAAATATAAAAAACTGTTATTTTGATCTCTCACTTACAATTAGAACCCTATATTTGATTCAAGATTTTGAAGCACATGTGTGAGTTACAGTTTTCGATCACGTGTATCTTCATAAGTATACATTTTCAAAATATTATTCTAATTCATAATTAATATTGTGAGGAACGATTGTTCTGTTAATCAATTTCTTAATAACATTATACCAAAATACTCATTACGTTTATTAGCGTATTTGATTATCAGAACAATCATGACATTAATTATTGATTAGAATAATAATTTGTAAACATATACTTATGAAGATATACTAATTGAAAACTAGTTAACTTACACTCTAAAATCTTGAATCAAATATAGTGTTCTAGGTGAGAGATATCAAACTATAATAGTTTTTTATATTATTATTGAAAGATAATGAAATGGAAATGAATATGTATATAAAGAATACTATTATACATATTATCATGAAAAATGACTCATATATTATTGAAGGTGCCAGTTCGAAGTAAACATACATAAAGTGTATATTCTTTTGTTGCATATATACGTAAAAATAATGATTTAATATTACTATTATAAACATCTAGTGTGCATGTGTTGTTAAATCATTATTACGTATATACGCAACTAAAGGATATACATTTTATGAATGTTCACTTTGAACTGGCACCTTCAATAATACATCAGTTTGTTTTCTAACGTCGAAATTGTCGGTTGCATTGCATTACCTTGAGAATTTAATGTATTTTTATTATTGTAATGTAATGTGTACTATACTGCGTTGTTGTCAACTATTTTGACACCACTTTTATTTAGGGCAACATTATTGTCGACAAGCTTTGCATTAGTCACATCCAAGATTATAGCACTGGCATCAAGAACTTTCAATGTACTTGGACCTCTCTAATATCTTTGCATCATTATCGTTTTATGGTCATTCCTCCTCCCAAATGAACACTATTTTGATCAATTACTTCTAAATTGTGTACCTGCAAAATATATAAATGTAATTAAAATAATTTCAATCATTTTTTTCAAAAATTATGTTTATTAGCGTATTTAATTATATGTAATAGAATTTTTTGGTATAATGTTATTACGAAATTGATTATCAGAACAATCCTTCACGATATTACCATAATTATTAATTAGAATAAGAATTTGTAAACGTATACTTATGAAGATATACGTGATTGAAAACTAGTTAACTTACACTCCAAAATCTTAAATCAAATATAGTGTTCTAGGTGAGAGATTAAACTGTATATATATATATATATATCAGTTTTCTTAAAATAAATCACAAAAGATCAATATTAATTTTAAAAGAATTCTTATACCAAATTGTCTATTTTAACGTAATACATTTTATTATTGAAAGATAATGGTACATATTACCATGAAAAATGACTTATATATTATTGAACTAACACCTTCAATAATATATCAGTTATTATCTATGATAATATATTTCATTATTAGATAATTATTTAAAGATTTCAATACTAAAACCAAGTAAT